ATTGAAATGGAAAAATTGAGTTAATACAATGAAGGAGATTGATTTAATCATCAGAAACTCAAAATATTATGTTATCTGAACTATATAAATTATTTAAGTTGATTTGACAATCAGTGGAAACGCATGAAGTGGCCAGGTGTAAACAGGCCCAAAGTGAGTCCAAATTTAATCCCGTAGAGTAAATACTGGCGTTTACTATGCGTCAGGATGCCAGCATATGTTAAGTCTGAGCTCTTATGAGCGAGACATTCTTAACATCACTATGACATTCCACAGAAGGATCATAATGAAAGTGGAAGCTTGTCTGAGCCACAAACTGATTGAGCTTTAATGTCCTGGACTTGAGTGCACTGATTAATCACAATATTTCCCTCACTTCCTGTGATTTAGAGGATACTTCCCGTCAGGAGCAGGGCCAGAGCTTTCTTAACTCCCTGTAAATGTCAGATGCATCACTTTTCAGCTTTAAAATGTCTTTGCAAATCACCTGACTTGACATCATCTAAAACAAACTTCACTCCAGTCCACAATGCGAGGCCCACCAACCCCTGCTCATAAATAACAACACGTGTGATTGGCTGCCTACAGGCATGATGTCACTGGGGCAGTCCAGCTGCGCCCCACATTAGAGCAAGACAGGTTCAGAAACAAGACTAAGGGGTGTAGAAATTATTTTAAAAGGTTGAGGTGATGCAATGAATGACGAATGCTGAATTTCAACATCCATATGCAAAACACAAGGGTTTAACTCCGTTATCAGCTTTAACTGTTTCCTCACCAGTGATCAGCCAGAGCTAGCATTTAATCATTTTCACAAAGGTTTCATGGCCCTCAATATTTTGATGTATGAATATCTGAAAATGTAATATGTCAAAAGAAAGAACAGAAAAGTTTTATTCTAGCTTCATGTATTACTAATCAACATTTGAATGTGGGTAAGTTTCATTAAAAAGAAAGCATTTTGAGCAAAAAGCTGAGAAAATCGTGTTTTGTCAAAGGCTACGTCTGGATCTGTGGATCATATTCAGAACGATGCTCAAAACATAGACAGAGTAGATCGAGTCCATCAACACCCCAAAGCTTCAGTCCTAACTCAACCTGGGTCGACTTTTCATTCAGTAACATTAGGCAGTTTAGATTTCTATGCCGTTTAATGTTGATTGCATTATCATCTGCTATCCCTTGTTTCTACGTCTTCGCATTTTTCGCAAGATTCAGAACTCGTACAGAAGATGCATGATGGCGCCCCCTACCGTATAACAGTGAAAACAGAAAATTTCCGTCAATGGCAGGAGAAACAGTTAAAAAAAAAGAATATATATTTTTTTCGTTTTAAAATTAATATTTGATTTTATTCGAGTTAACGTAACAGAAGAAAGAAACTTCTGAAGAAGAAAAAAAGAGAGTCAATTGTGTGTGAACTAGTGCCGTCAAATCGATTAAACGTGATCGTTAATCACATCTGACAAGTGTATATATATATATATATATATATATATATATATATATATATATATATATATATTATGGCTGTCAAACAATTAATCGCGATTAATCACATCCAAAATAAAAGATTGTGTTTACATAATAAATGTGGGTGCACTGTGTATAATTATGTGATTAATCGCGATTAATCATTTGACAGTTCTAATATATATATATATATATATATATATATATATATATATATACTTAAATTATGATTAAACTTAACTTTTCTGTTAGATGCGATTAATCGATTTGACAGCACTACGGAAGCCCTGAACGGCAATGTTAAAAAAAAAAATCTAGCATTCTGAGATTAAAGTCGAAACGTGTTGACATCTCGAAACGTTTTGACTTTAATCTCGAAATGCTAGATTTTTTTTTTTTTTTTCACGTTGCGGCTCAGGGCTTCCGTACAGCACTAAGGTGAACTAAGTTATGTTTGTTCAGCTCACTTTACCTTTCTGCAAGTGGATGATGTCTGGAAAGTTGGACAGCAGGCCCTGATACAGCGACAGTTTATCCAGCATCTGAAACAGGTCGAATTTGGGCTGTTCGGCGAACATCTCCCCGATGTTCTCGTAGGTGCGGCCTGTGTGCGAGATGGCGTTGCTCAGGGCGTCCGAGCTGTATGGAGGGTCCAGCAAGAAGGACTGGCTGATAGACTGGAAGCCATTGCCCAGCCTCTGGAACTCCTTCCGAAATCCTCCGAGGTGTTTGCGGACTAGTTCCGACGCGACGTGCGTCAACTGCATCACGCTGTCGTCCATCTTTTTGGCGAACGCCTTGAAGGTGTCAATGCGCTCCTCCACGTCCTGAAGGTCCTGGTGCTCGTTGGGAATCTGGAAGGTGAGCATGAAATGAGCCCCGACCATCTCGTCTTTCTCTGCCCTCCTCTTCCCGAGTTTCCACTGTTTGTCGTCCGTGCACATGAGGAAGTGTTCGAATCCCTCATATTGAGACAACACCGGGTGGCTGGTCATGTGGTCCATCCATAAAATGAGCCTCCTCTTCCTCTTATCGATGAAGTCTTCCTCGAACCGTCCCGTGGCCTGTTTTTCAGGGAGGTGCGGGACGGAAATCACTGTGAATTTGTGCAGTAGTCTATTGTACAGCCAGTCAAAGTGCTTGTAGCGGCGGTAAACCGGCCTGGCAATGTGACTGGGGGTCAAGCGGTACGAGATGTACGTCTTAATGCCTTTGAACTTCGTCTGTTTGGTAGGGTCTTCAATGGAACAGGAGAAGGGTTGAGGGCTTTCCTTCCACTGCGGCCCCCGGGGGCCCATTTCGATGGTGTACGACTCTGCGATCTTAGCCATCATGGGAACGTCGCCAAGTACGAAGGCCTCCACACCTGAGCGCACGAAGCTGGAGAATCGGTTCAAGTTTCTGCCCACCATGCTGCCCTTCCTGTTGCTCGACATGCTGTCCTGACGCTCCATGTGTGGCTTGGTCCGGTAGTAGACGTTGGGGTTGGAATATGAACTTTGGGAATGTCCATTGGCACCCACCCCTCTCCGAGGGTCTTCATCCTCAACCACCGTTGAGGTTTCATCCCAGTCGTCCCAGTCGTCATCGTCGTCACTCGGCGGGGTCGGAGTAGTTTGGATGTACGACAAATCCTTACCAGGAGAACTTCCAGGTGAACTGAGGGATTGATCTGTCAGGTTGGACCCGGATCGGCGCCGAATGATCTGGACGTACGAGGCAGGAAACAAGCCTCGCTCTCCTCGGCTGTTCTCCCCTTGTAGCCAGCCGTCCACAGAGTTCTCGTCGAAAATAACCAGCTCTTCGCTCTCCTGGATGCTTATCTCCTCCTTGTTCTCACTTTGGAAAGTGTAGAGGGCTTTGGCTCTCAGGGACATTTTTGTAACTTTTGCAAGACAGAAAAAAATGGGCCACAAAAAAAGTTCCCTTACCTCATTTCAGACTGTCAATCTAAGAAAAAAAGGGCTTAGATAAATTAAAATGTAACTGTGTATGTAGTACAGCAGTAATTATTAATGTATTCATAGCACTTTAATAAAACTAGTAGTTTTGAGGGTGTTGGTAAATAACATTCTTCAAGATAAAGATCTTCAAGTCTTTTTAAAGTTACTGACCACAAAGACAACAGGAATCTATAATTTCCTCGGAAATAATATCCGATATTCTACATTTGATAAAAAGTTACATGTTGGAACTCCCTGTCAGGTTGTTATTCTCCAACTTCCCTTAATTTATGTCGTTTCATTATTCCCACAAAACCAGAATCTTCAGCCGCAAAAAAATAAACCCATAAATCCACAAAACCCGTCCAGCAGAACTGAGACACCGGCAAACACATTCAGTTCAGTGCCTCACCATAACAAAAGTTTTAGCCATCCTGCATGCTGTGAAATATTTTTGTATTTTTGCAACTCCGGCTGAACTAAACTCCAGATGAAAACATTATACCAACATTCCGTCCCGGACAGATATGAGAAATAAACGTATCCTTTGCATTCCGCCAACAAAAGAACAAAAACTTCATCTAAAGCATCTGTATAATCCCCAGGTCCAGTTCAAATCGCTGTGCACTCAAAGTATTTCCTTCGAGATGTGATTCAACAGGCCAAGAGCTTTTCATAAAGTATTTCTTTACTTTGAGCAGAAACGCAGTAACTCTTTCCATGACGTGACGATCGAACAATGAGAGTCGCGCAGTTTAGTGTGAGATTTACAGTCACGTTTGTGGCGCCGCCCGACGGTCAAGAAAACAACTGAAGGACTGACTGAAACAGTTTCAGGTCAACTCAAAACACATCCGATTGAATACAGTAACTCATCTAGATAGTGTACAATACTTTGTAGTGACAATTGCTAGCGTTATATTATTAAGTTACCCATGACAATGATGCGAAACGAGGGCGCAGGGCGTCCGGATCTGCCATTCAGTCACATTCAAATTTTAGGACGTTTGTTTGTTATCGGATACATTTATTTATAAGAAAGTATAAATATAATTTCAAGTGATTACATTGAAATCCGCACAGAACTGTTTATGATAAAAAAAAAAAGTTAAATAATAATAATTACTCTTATCCGATAATCACAAATGGCTATGATTGGTCCATCCAAATACAGCGATGAGAAAATTAACAAGTACCACGTGACACAAGCAAAATCAAATGGGCGGGGCTAGACGTCCAGTTCCACCTCTGTGAACCTAGTGAAGCGCCACTCACTGGCTCATTATTGCAAGCCCTTCTTACACTAACTAACCTAATGAAAAACATGTTTATTGCTGCAAATTAATAAACAAGAGAGAGAATTACATGAAATTTTTGGTGCTGGCATGTAATATTGCATTACCTTTTTCAAATATATTTTTATTATTTTTCAGCATGCGACGAACAGCGTGAAATAGTAATCTGTGTGCTACTAGCTTGTTTTTTTAAGGCTATGTATGCTATTTGCGAATTCATTCGAACCATATCATGTTCATTAATGTAATATCCCACAACAAATGTTGCTGAAATCTTAGTATGACATTTGAGGAACACAACATTTGTTTTTCATGAGATTTTAATGTTTTTGTTTTCTACAAAACATAAAACTGCAAAACATTTGCATAGTCAACATAACCCTCAATATTATTGGAAGTCGAATCTTCCCAGCAAAGTGTGGCTGTGTTTTCTGTTAATGTGAACCAGTAAGTTCTTTTTATTTATTTGAATGCCACAGTATTCGCAAGACACCCTGACTTGCTGCCGCTGCCGGACACGTGCTTTTGCTGGTGCTACTGCTGGGAAAAGAGGTCCTTCTGATGGAGGTTCATCTGCTATGGATAGAGGTCCTTCTGATGGGGTTGGAGGTATTTCTGATGGAGGTTGGTCTGCTGTGGATGGAGGTCCTTTTGCTGGGAATTGGGGTATTTCTGATGGAAGTCCTTCTGAAGGGGTTGGAGGTATTTTAGCTGTGGATGGAGGAGGTGGTGCTGCTGGCGGCACTATGGGCGGATGCCGTCTGAATGATGTATGTTTACAAGTTGCAACATGTTTAATCAGAGCATCTCTTCTGATTAATGTTGATGTGCAGTAGCAGCAGTGGAAGTGTGGTGTTTGCCTGCAGCCTAGACCACACTTGACGATGACAAAACCTAAAATGTAGAAAGAATAAGTTCAATAGTCATGATAAAAAATGACATAAAAGAAGACAGAGATTGAGATAAAAGAACATAAGGGGAAAAAGCAACGTAATATAATTAAATAAATGAGCCTATAACTGTTGGATAAGGAATATTAATCAATACGAGGGAGAATTAAATAATAAGGGTTGATAAACTTACACAGACAGCTGTATAATTGAGGTGTATAAAGATATTGAAATGAATTCACACACACCTTCCTGTTGAACAGCATTTTGAATGTGATTTGTAACATGATTTTGTGCCTCGTGTAAATATTTATGCAGCATTGTACAGTAGTCACAGTGGTACATGTTGCAGCACACCGAGCATCTCTTAATGGAGAGAAGGGGATCTTGTCCTCGCCTCAGGATTGTCCGATGCATCTGTGCAGGTTAAACAAACACACACCATTAACATCTGTCAGCAAAAATAAATATGTTTTAAAAATATGACGACGACTTATAAATGCATACAACTGACCATACTTGCTAAAAGCAATGTCCTCCTCTGTATTGTTTTTCAAGAGCACTGTTTGGATAATAGTAGCTAGCTCATTTAATGCTCTATGAATAGAATGAATCTATGGAAGCTTGTTTCTGCCATGGAATTTGTAAAAATAATAAAAGGAAATTGTGACTTTTTTCCCTTCGAATTTTGAGATATAAACCCACAATTCCAATAATTACGAATTCATCTCGCAATTCTGATTTTGATTAGATTTTCTTTCAATTAAATCAGAGTTTATATCTTGCAATTCTGACTTTATTTTTTGCAATTCCGAGTTTATAACACACAATTCTGACTTTTTTTCTCAGAATAGTGAAATATAAACTCGATTTTGCAAGTTATGCAGTCTGAATTGTGAGAATTAAACATGCAATTGCGAAAAAGAAAATTCAGAATTGTGAGAAAAAAAGTCGTCTTTTTTTATTTTGTGGCAGAAAAAAGCTTCCACGTCATCATCTTTAATATTACAGAAAATCAAATCTTCCCAACAAAGTGTTGTGGCTGTGTTTTCTGTTAAAGGAGAACTCCGGCGCAAATTGAGCCTTTGGTCTAATAAAACATCGGTACCTAGTCAACTGTTCTCTGAGATTTGTTTTCATGATAATCGAATGTAAAGAGTTTTATCTCTAAAAACTGTTTAGCATATAATGCTAGTAATGGGGGCATTTACTAAGTAAAAATAAATCACTAGTTTATACCACTAATAAAGCTCAAAATAGCCCCACACTAACACAGTAACATAATGAGGGTCCATACATGCAAAACGAAGCATTGAGAGCTTTGTAAGTGTACAGACCGTTTAATAAGAAGATATTTATAAAGACAGTTCAGTTCGTGTATACATATAGTCTCGATAAGTCGATCTCAGAACGCCGTTCATACAGTTCAGCTTACTCAGCACGACGTTCGTGGTTTGACTTGTCGTGACTGTTTTCCAAAGATGGCTTCTGTCTGTACTCTGTATACATGAAGTGAACTGTCTTTCTAAAGTATCTTCTTATTAAGCGGTCTGTACACTTACAAAGTTCTCAATGCTTCGTTTTGTATTTAGGGACCCTCGTTATGTTACTGTGTTGGTGTGGGGCTATTTTGAGCCTTGTTAGTGGTATAAACTAGCGATTTCTTTTTACTTATTATATGCCCCCATTACTAGCATTATACGCTTAACAGTTTTTAGAGATAAAACTCTTTACTTTCGATTATCATGAAAACAAATCTCAGAGAATGGTCGACTATGTACTGATGTTTTATTAGACCAAAGGTTCATTTTGTGCCGGAGTTCTCCTTTAATGTGAACCAGCAAGTTCCTTTTATTTAGTTGAATGCCGTAGTTTGTGCAAGACACCCTGACTTGCTGCTGGACACTTAATCTTACTGCAGACGATGGTGCTACTGCTGGGAATGGAGGTCCTTCTGATGGAGGTTCTGCTGTGGATTGAGGTTTGTCTGCTATAGACAGAGGTCCTTCTGCTGTGGATGGAGGTCCTTTTGCTGGGAATTGGGGTATCTCTGATGGAAGTTCTGCTGTGGATGGAGGTCCTTCTGATGGAGGTTCGTCTGCTGTGGATGGAGTTTCTTCTGCTGTAGATGGAGGTCCTTCTGATGGAGGTTCATCTGCTGTGGATTGAGGTTTGTCTGCTATAGACAGAGGTCCTTCTGCTGTGGATGGAGGTCCTTTTTCTGGGAATTGGGGTATTTCTGATGGAGGTTCATCCGCTGTGGATGAAGGTCCTTCTGATGGAGGTTCATCTGCTGTGGATGGAGGTCCTTTTTCTGGGAATTGGGGTATTTCTAATGGAATTTCTACTGTGGATGAAGATTCTTCTGATGGAGGTTGGTCTGCTGTGGGTGGAGTTTCTTCTGATGGGGTTGGAGGTATTTCTGATGGAAGTACTTTAGCTGTGGATGGAGGAGGTGGTGCTGCTGGCGGCACTATGGGTGGATGCCGTCTGAATGATGTATGTTTACAAGTAGCTACATGTTTAATCAGAGCATCTCTTCTGATTAATGTTGATGTGCAGTAGCAGCAGTGGAAGTGTGGTGTTTGCCTGCAGCCTAGACCACACTTGACGATGACAAAACCTAAAATGTAGAAAGAATAAGTTCAATAGTCATTAGTAAAATAATACGCCTCTAACGATGATAAAAACTGACATAAAAGAAGACAGAAATTGAGATAATAGAACATAAGGGGAGAAAGCAACATAATATAATTAAATAAATGAGCCTATAACTGTTGGATAAGGAATATTCATCAATTCAAGGGAGAATTAAATAATAAGGGTTGATAAACTTACACACAGTATAAAGATATTGAAATAAATTCACACACCTTCTTGTTGAACAGCATTTCGAATGTGATTTGTAACATGATTTTGTGCCTCATGTAAATATTTATGCAGCATTGTACAGTAGTCACAGTGGTACATGTTGCAGCACACCGAGCATCTCTTAATGGAGAGAAGGGGATCTTGTCCTCGCCTCAGGATTGTCCGATGCATCTGTGCAGGTTAAACAAACACACACCATTAACATCTGTCAGCAAAAATATATAAAAACTATGATGATTTCCATGCATATCTGTCAAAATCTAACCTTTAACAATAACATGTCTCTGTGTGTTGCATCTGTATTGTGTCTGCAGTGTGTTGTGTCTATGTGTGTCTACTTTCCTGTTGCTCAAACAGTAGAGTGTTGGTACATGCAACACCATAGGTCATAGGTCATCATAGATTTGATTCCCAGAGAAAGCAAGAACTGATAAAAATGTAAATGTGTACCTTGAAATGCAATGTAAGTCACTTTGGATAAAAGCTTCTGCCAGATGCGTAAATTTGTCGTTTCTGTGGTGTGTTACTTCTATGTGGTGTGTTGTACAGGGTATTGCATGGAATGTATATTCTGTTGTGTGGTGTGTTGGATTTTTGTGTGTTGGGTCTGTGGTATGTTGTGTTTATGCGTTGTGTTGTGGTGTTGTGTCTATGTGTTGTGCTCTGATGTGTCTGTGGTGTGTTGTGTCAATGTGGTGTCTGTAGTGTGTTGGGTCTGTGGTGTTGTGTCTATGTGGTGGGTTGGGTCTGTGCCGTGGTGTGTTGTGTCTATGTGGTGTCTGTAGTGTGTTGGTTCTGTAGTGTTGTGTCTAGTGTGGTGTCTGTAGTGTGTTGTGTCTGTCTGTGGTGTGTTGTGTCTATGTGGTGTCTGTAGTGTGTTGGGTCTGTAGTGTTGTGTCTATATAGTGTGGTGTCTGTAGTGTTGTGTCTATATAGTGTGGTGTCTGTAGTGTGTTGTGTCTGTGGTGTGTTGTGTCTGCAGTGTTGTGTCTATATAGTGTGGTGTCTGTAGTGTGTTGTGTCTGTAGTGTTGTGTCTATATAGTGTGGTGTCTGTGGTGTGTTGTGTCTAGTGTGTTGTGTCTGTAGTGTTGTGTCTATATAGTGTGGTGTCTGTAGTGTGTTGTGTCTGTAGTGTTGTGTCTATATAGTGTGGTGTCCGTAGTGTGTTGTGTCTGTAGTGTTGTGTCTATATAGTGTGGTATCTGTGGTGTGTTGTGTCTATGTGGTGCCTGTAGTGTGTTGTGTCTGTAGTGTTGTGTCTATATAGTGTGGTGTCTGTGGTGTGTTGTGCCTGTAGTGTTGTGTCTATATAGTGTGGTGTCTGTGGTGTGTTGTGTCTGTAGTGTTGTGTCTATATAATGTGGTGTCTGTGGTGTGTTGTGTCTATAGTGTTGTGTCTGTGGTGTGTTGTGTCTGTGGTGTGTTGTGTTGTTGTGTCTGTGGTGTGTTGTGTCTGTGGTGTGTTGTGTCTGTGGTGTTGTGTCTATATAGTGTGGTGTCTGTGGTGTGTTGTGTCTGTAGTGTTGTGTCTATATAGTGTGGTGTCTGTAGTGTGTTGTGTCTGTAGTGTTGTGTCTATATAGTGTGGTGTCTGTGGTGTGTTGTGTCTGTAGTGTTGTGTCTATATAGTGTGGTGTCTGTGGTGTGTTGTGTCTATAGTGTTGTGTCTGTGGTGTGTTGTGTTGTTGTGTCTGTGGTGTGTTGTGTCTGTGGTGTGTTGTGTCTGTGGTGTGTTGTGTTGTTGTGTCTGTGGTGTGTTGTGTTGTGTCTGTGGTGTGGTATGTCTGTGGTGTGGTGTGTTGTGTCTGTGGTGTGGTGTGTCTGTGGTGTGTTGTGTCTGTGGTATGTCTGTGGTGTGTTGTTGTGTGTTGTGTCTGTGGTGTGTTGTGTTGTTGTGTCTGTGGTGTGTTGTGTCTGTAGTGTTGTGTCTATATAGTGTGGTGTCTGTGGTGTGTTGTGTCTGTAGTGTTGTGTCTATATAGTGTGGTGTCTGTGGTGTGTTGTGTCTGTAGTGTTGTGTCTATATAGTGTGGTGTCTGTGGTGTGTTGTGTCTGTAGTGTTGTGTCTATATAGTGTGGTGTCTGTGGTGTGTTGTGTCTGTAGTGTTGTGTCTATATAGTGTGGTGTCTGTGGTGTGTTGTGTCTATGGTGTTGTGTCTGTGGTGTGTTGTGTCTGTGGTGTTGTGTCTATATAGTGTGGTGTCTGTAGTGTGTTGTGTCTGTAGTGTGTTATGTCTGTAGTGTTGTGTCTATATAGTGTGGTGTCTGTAGTGTGTTATGTCTGTAGTGTTGTGTCTATATAGTGTGGTGCCTGTGGTGTGTTGTGTCTATAGTGTTGTGTCTGTGGTGTGTTGTGTCTGTGGTGTGTTGTGTTGTTGTGTCTGTGGTGTGTTGTGTCTGTGGTGTGTTGTGTTGTTGTGTCTGTGGTGTGTTGTGTCTGTGGTGTGGTATGTCTGTGGTGTGGTGTGTTGTGTCTGTGGTGTGGTGTGTCTGTGGTGTGTTGTGTCTGTGTATGTCTGTGGTGTGTTGTTGTGTGTTGTGTCTGTAGTGTTGTGTCTGTGGTGTGTTGTGTTGTTGTGTCTGTGGTGTGTTGTGTCTGTGGTGTGTTGTGTCTGTGGTGTGTGGTGTGGTGTGTCTGTGGTGTGGTGTGTCTGTCTGTGGTGTGTCTGTGGAGTGTTGTGTTGTGTCTGTGGTGTGTGGTTTCTGTGGTGTGTTGTGTCTGTGGTGTGTTGTGTCTATGGGGTGTTGTGTCTATATGTTGTGCTGTGCCAGTGGTGTGTTGCGTTGCGTGTGTGTTATTGTTGTTGTGTGTGTTGTTCGTGAGCTGCACTCACCAGCACATTATTTTCATTTTCCGGGGCCGGACACGGACTCGGGACAGTCACAGGGGTGAGACTTATCTTCGGGATTGGAGCTGCTGCAGCGCTGACGGTGTTGACCGATAGCCGTGGTGTTTGTGTGAAAAGCAAGAAGAAAATTTGGGGAGTTTGACCACATTCTTTTTTGTCTCTTCTTTTGTCTGCCTCACTGGGGTAGCTGCGTTTCATTATTAATCCTGACAACCGCAAATGTTTTCGCTGAAACCAGATCAACAGACTGCTCCGCTGCTGTAACTTTCTCTACCGTCTTCTTCTTTATCTTTGGAGTATTTGGCGTTCCCCGCACCATTTCGCCACCTACTGTTTCCTCTCCTCCTCCATGGTGGATGTAGTGATGACCATATGCCTATGGTGATGACGGGCGCTTTTTTAAAAACACGCTTCGTTATGTTTCGAAACCCTCTATCTATATATTCAGATAGATCCCGTTTTAATATTTTATTTGATCAGTAACTTAATAATAATAATATAATAATGTAATGTGCTATCCTGACCATACAGAATATGAAACGTATTAATAGCTTATTTAAATATAAAAAATAATTATTACGTTATATTTTATTTGGGGGTACACGGTGACAAGTCAAATTGGAATTATATTATTTAACGTTAGACCAATTATAGACACCATCTTTTTTGTAATGCTTATTTGCTTTATAAATAATTTTAACTGGATTAGTATTTAGTAAATCGAATGAAATTTAACAACAATACAATGAGTTTGAAATGAATAAGTGCAAATTCATCAATAAGTTTACCTTTTTAGTCATATTCTTCAATTCTTTTTAGATTAATAATTTACACAACAACGAGGGAATGTACACAAATCGCTGAAACTCCGCGTCGAATTTTGGTCGGCCGCGGTGAGGATTGATGACGTCAGGTCGCGCCATTGCGTTTCAAAGCGTGTTTCTCTGGTTTCTCTGCATATGTTGGTGTTTGTGTATTTCCCTCTTCGGGTTTGCCATTCTCTTCGTATTTCTGTTACTCGGCATCATGAGTAAAGGACTTTAGAGCAGCTTTGATGGGATTGTGATCACATGTTTACAGCCTGCAGTTGGTTTATCTGTAAGTTACGTGACATGCTGGTGTTTGTGTTTAACGTTACTCAAATGTGATGAGATGTGATTTCCGTTTGCTTTTGAAATAACTCATTGGTCTTATATTATATACATAACCGACTCTTATTATTGCATATAAGTGTCTCAGGATGATGTGAACTCTTGTGTTTGCTGTCACAGGTCCATCATGGAGTCTCTGACCCAGGCTCTCTCCTCCAGCTTCTCTGTATCCAGAGAACCCAACAGCACATCTGCTCCCCATCCTCGCCTGACCCAGTACAAGAGCAAATACAGCGTTCTGGAGCAGAGTGAACGGCGCAGGAGGTTCCTGGAGTTCCAGAAAGAGTGAGTTCAAGTCACCATGATATCAAAACGGACATTTCTAAAACACCTGTGTATCTGCTTAGCAACTTAAAGGGTTAGTTCACCCAAAAATGACTGTTCTGTCATTAATTACTCACCCTTGTGTCGTGCCAACCCCGTAAGATCTTTGTTCATCTTCGAAACACAAATTAAGAAATTTTTTTTTAATGAAATTGTTGACCTCAACATCATTAATACCTTTCTGGGCCTTAAAGGGATCGTTCTGGTCTGTCAGTCATATAATGCAGGTCTATGGTCACCACCATAAAGAGCATGGACAGAGAAGTCCAAATTAAACATGATTTAATGACTCGTAAATGTAAGTACACATTGATGGTCTAAGACACGAAGCGGCTTGTGTGAGAAAACGAGCAGTATTTGTATTGTTTTTACGGCTTGTAACCACAGCCACGTCCAAGTGATCTGAGGGCACGGGCGCTTTGTGGCTGTGATTACAAGAGGTAAAAACGATATTAATACTGTTCGTTTTCTCACACAAACCGCTCGTTTCGTGTCTTAGACAATCAATGTATACTTACATTTATTACGAGTCATTAAATCATGTTTAATTTGGACTTCTCTGTGCATGCTCTTTGAGGTGGTGACCATAGACCTCCATTATATGACTGACAGACAAGAACGGTTTGACCTAAAAATATCAAAATTTAAACTACTGTGGAAACAAAGACACCTACATCTTGGATGGCCTTGAGGTAAGATAAAACGTAACAAAAATTAATTTCAAAGTGAACTATCTCTTTAAAAGTTGCAAACACATTGTTAAAATAGACCATGTGACTACAATGGTTCAACCTTAATGTTATGAAGCGACAAGAGTACATTTTGCACGCCAAACCTTTCTAGACCTTGAAAGTTACAATAACGTCAGAAACCTCTTTGATGTCATCAAAAATATCTTAAATTGTGTTCCGAAGATGAACGACATAAGGGTGTGTAATTAATGACAGAAATTTAATTTTGGGTGAACTACACCTTTAATCACCTACAATTCACTAGCAACCCTTGGGCTTTATTTTGACGCAGTGACACTAATCAAAAACATTATGTTGTCAGGAAAAGGCTGAACTACGTGAATCACGCCCGTCGTCTGGCAGATGGAGACTGGACCGGAGTCGACAGTGAGGATGAGGAGGACAAAGAGAAGAAGAGTCCGCAACAGCTGGAGAACAGCGCAGATGAAGAGGGGATGGAGATTGAGCAGAGGAAAAAGCTACCCAAGCATTACGCCAACCAGGTGCTCAAAAAATTGCTGCCAGTAAAACAGATATAGTCATTTACATAAACCAGCTTATTAAGGGACAGTAGCAAAAACATCTTGTTCATTTAGAAGGTTGAAAAGAGTGGCCAAGCCCAAAATGGCTAAACACTGAAGCTTTTAATTGTCTTAATGACAAATTATTGGTCGGGAAATGAGCAAAATTGAAGCAAATGCACTAGTTAAGAGGCCATTGCTGTCTCAGATAAACGTCAAAGACTGAACAAAGTTTTTGGCAGAATCTGGAGTGATGAATCACAATTAAAGGATTAGTTCACTTTAAAAAAAAAACTATTGCTGATAATTTACTCACCCCCATGTCATCCAAGATGTCCATGTCTTTTTTTCTTCAGTCGAAAAGAAATGAAGGTTTTTGATGAAAACATTCCAGGATTTTCTCCATATAATGGACTTCAATGGGAACCAAACAGTTCAAGGTCCAAAAGACACTCTCAGTGCAAACTGTTCAAAGCTCTTTAAACGATTCCAGACGATGAACAAGGGCCTTATCAAGCGAAACGATCGCTCATTTTAAAAAAAAAAAAACAAAGTTTAAGTTTTATAAGCTCAAATGGTCGCCTTGCTCTGTTCTGTGAAGCGTGTTCGTGACTCTCCTGTTCGAACTCATTCATTAAAATGAATGAATTTTTTTCCCGAGTCAACTCGTTCATTTCGTTCGTTGAATGAACCAAATGACACAAAAAAAGATTTGTTCATTTTGATGAACGAGTTAGAACAGGAGAGTCATGAACGTGCATCACAGAACAGAGCAAGGCGAGCATTTGAGCTCATAAAACTTAAAGTTTGTTTTTGTTTTTCTTAAATGAGCGATTGTTTCACTTGATAAGACCCTTATTCATCGTCTGGAATCGTTTAAAGCCCTTTGAAAAGTTTGCAGTTTGCACTGAAAGTGTGTTTTGGACCTTGAACCGTTTGGTTCCCATTGAAGTAAATTATATGGAGACAAAAAATCCTGGAATGTTTCAAAAACCTTCATTTTTTCATCAAAAACAGTTTTTAGAGATAAAACTCTTTACATTCGATTATCATGAAAACAAATCTCAGAGAACGGTTGACTAGGTACCGATGTTTTATTAAACCAAAGGTTCTTTTTGCGCCGGAGTTCTCCTTTAATTATAATTTTAATTTAATAAAAAATGTAATACGTTTTTATGATAATGCTGTCTGGAAGTATAATTAACAGTCTTTTAATAGAAAAGTTGTGTTTTATATTTGTGTGATATCTCCAGCTGATGTTGTCAGAGTGGTTGGTGGACATCCCTGCAGATCTGAGCTCTGATTGGCTGATGGTGGTTTGTCCAGTTGGGAAGCGTTCCCTCGTTGTTGCTTCCAAGGTTTGGACCTATTTTTTTTTTCACATCATGTGATCAAACATACACTGCTGTTTAAATGTTTCGGTTTAGTAAGATTTTGTTTCTAAGAAAATATAGTAGACTACTTTTATTAAGCTAGGATGCATTAAATTGATTAAAAAAAATTACTATGTTACAAAGGCTCTCTATTTCAAATAAATACTGTTCTTTTGAATTCTAAACGTTTAAAAATTCTTTTAAAAATTCTTTAAAATTCTAAAATGCTGTTCTTTCTATTCATCAAAGAATCCTTAAATGATCACGGTTTCTTTTCACATTTTTTTGATCAAATAAATGCAGCCTTGATGAGAAGAAGAGTCTAACTGACCACAATGATGCAGCCTTTTCGGTGTAATTTTCATGTTTGTTGTTTTATCCGTAGGGATCTACCGCATCTTACACCAAAAGCGGCTACTGTGTCAATCGATTCCCTTCTCTTATCCCTGGCGGCAACAGACACAACTCTGCCCTGGGAAAAGGTCTGTATCTCTGTACCTGTCCTACAGATTTATCACACTAGAGTGTGCTAGAGGTCTGACGTTCTGAGCCATCCTGAACAATAAAACTGATAAATATGTTTTCTATAGATTACACCATCCTCGACTGCATCTACAGTGACGTGGACAGAACATACTACATCCTGGATGTCATGTGCTGGAGGGGGCATCCTGTATATGACTGCTCAGTACGTGTGACTTCCTCTAATGACATTTCATTTACATTTTCGTTAGGGACATTCACTTTCAGACCATTTTATATAATTAATTATGTTGAAGTACACTTATGTTTCTTGCATTAAAGCAGTCATAATTTAATTTTAGATTTGTATAAAAAAATTTTTTAAGAAAGTTAATACTTTTATTCAGCAAGGATGCATTAAATTGATCATTGATCAATGATCATGACAATAAAGACATTTATAATGTTACAAAAGCTTTTTATTTCATATAAAGGCGGTTCTTTTGAACGTTTTGATAATGAAATAATCCTAAAAAGAATAATTCCACAAAAATATTAATCAGCACAACCATTTTCAACATTGATAATAATCAGAAATATTCATTCAGAATGATTTATGAAGTAATTTAGCTTTGCATCACAGAAAATAAATTACATTTTACAGTATACGAAAATAGTTGTTTTAAATTGTGATAATATTTCAGAGTACTGTTTTTAATTGATTTTTGATCAGATAAATGCAGCTTGTGTCACACAACTTATTTAAATGACCCCAAACTTTTGAATGGTAGTGTACAGTATATAACCTCATAAATGGCTCAGTATTAAAT